GTAACTTGTTGCGTCAGGACTGACCTCAGCAGTCTGCATGTTAGCAAAGAGATGGATCGCCAATGGCCATTGCCGCCCCTTCTCACAGGAGCTGATCGTTGCGTTGTAACTGATGACATCAGGACTAACCTTTTTGTTACGCATGCTTGTAAAAAGATGTATCGCCTGCTGCCACTGTTTGGCACTTGCACAAATGCTGATTGCCATAGTATACTCAGGCTGGCCTATGTCAAGCTTGCACGCAGAAAGCACGTTGAAAAGCGCAACGACAACATCAGCTCGCCTCTGGGATTTCAGTGCGCGCAGGACAAGGCGAAGACCTTTTAGATCTGTTCGCCAACTATTCAGATGCTGATGGAGAAGAGGCTGCACAGCGTGCTTGCTCCTTAGCTCCAAGGTGCTTTGGGGCTTAGGATTCTAGATTTCAGATTTCGGGTTCGGCTTAGCCTTTTGAACGTAGGGCCAGGTTTTTAGATGTACAGTCTATGGCATAGCCACGGAATGCTTCAGAAACCGGCTTATTACCTTGCTATCGACTTTCCAACAAACTGTGATGTCTTAACTATGCATGCTAGTAGCAGCTCCGCAGTCTGAACACTGCTGATTGCAGCAACCTGCATTCATAAACCTGTGCCTCTGGCTATTCCACTTCGTCGCCAAATGCTGGATACTCGACTCCTGAACTTAGAAGACTAAGACGCATCCAGGTGTTAATCAACCTCCTGACCCTGAATCCAACACCCTAGACACTGTAAAACATACTTTATATTCCGGCCGGTTTTTGTCACACGGCTCATGGTTTAGGGCTTGCATAAGCAAACATAATCAACAAAAACCCATATGTATATATATATATATAGAGATAGCCCAATGAAAACCCATCTCCAAAGGAAGGGCCATACCCAACAGCCTTTCCCAAACAGCTTGACCCCAGGTTCTGGACATATTCAGGGAATCCTGGAACACTAATTCTACACGTTAAGCCTTACATGCTAAACCTTAAGCCCTGAACCTGAAATATACCTGCCCTCAGGGTCCCTCATAGAACCCTAACGACTAAACCCTAAACAACTATACATAGACTTCAAGGAATCCTAGAGCTCAAACCCTCGATCTTAAGCCCTACATCCTAACCCAGACCCCTGATTGATAGTAGACCCCTTCTCCTTAATGGGGATTATACTAGGGATCCTAATATTATAATATTAAGGCCCTCAAAAAGGAGGTGGTTTATTAATCATGGGTCTACATCCTAAACCCAACATAGTTCAAACTGGACTAAAAAGAACCCTGAGCCTCCAGGTATCTTGCGCCTCAAGAATGCTGGAACCCTGAACCTCAAACCCTAACCCCCAAACCTTAAGCCCTACATCCTAAACCCTGTATAGTCTTACTCGGGCTACAATAACCCTGAACCTCCAAGCATCTCACGCCCAAAGTGTTCCAAGTGTTCTGGAATCCTCAACCCTAATCCTGACATCCCGAACCTGAACCCCAACATCCTAAACCCCAAATATACTGTTGATACTAAAAACCTTGCATAACCCTAGTAGACTATGGTACCATAATGCCCAAGGTATAAGGTACCTAGGGTCATGCAGGATTTCTAGTATCTCCATATGTACTCAACCCTCTATACCCGTATGTATATATATATATATACTTGGGTCATGACTGCCCTGAATTCAAGTATCTTCCTTCTCAAGATTCGCTGGTGCGCGCAGCTGAAGGAGTTGATCTGCGAGCTGCCCCAGCGCCTTTGGGGGTTTGGTGTAGGGAGACCCTAAACCCTAGGGTTTTAGGTTTAGTTTTTATGGTTTAGGTTTTAGAGAGTGCCTCCGGGGTTGCTGTGGAGTTGCGCTTAAGGGCATTACTGCAAACCCCTCAGACCGATCAAATATCCAACTAGTTCCTTTGGGTTATACTACAGGAATTCTTTTAGCAGAACCAAGAAGGGATAGGAGTTTAGGCTTTGGGGAACTTAGGGTTTTGTGTATGGAGTGCCTCTGGAAGGCCTTAGGGTTTGGGATTTGGAGGGTTTGGGAATTGAGGGAGTAGGCTTTGAGAGATTCAGGTTTGGGGCTTTAGGTTTTAGGGTCTATGACTCATCTTTAGGCCTCAGGGTTCTGAACTTTCCCTGCAGCTGTGTAGCTTGACGCCGGCTAAGTCATTTGTTTTGCGCAATGCCCCGAAAGTGCAGGTGAATGAGCCAGGTTTCATGTAGCTTCTGGGATTGTAAAATCTCTTTTGCGTTACGGCGGATACACTAAACCCTAAATCTTAAATGCCCTGAATCCTACCATGGCTTCCTCTTGGACCATTTGACGTCATCGCCTTTGTCGCCCTACAACATGCCCTTTTACAAGCATAAGTCAGGCCTTGTTCATGGTGCGACTGGCCGCATGGAAAGCGCGCTTAGAGTCGAGGGTGTAAGGTTGAGGGTTTAGGATGTAGAGTCTAGGGGTTAAGGAGGGAGGGGGTGAAAATCATGGGTATACCTAGGAGTCTAGAGTTTGGGGTTGAGGATGTAAGGTGCAGGGGTTAGGGTAAGGAGCTTTGGGTTGTTGGTTTAGAGTTTGGGTTTAGGATGTAGGGGTGTAATGGTCGGCTAGAGGCTTTGGGTTGGGGGAGTCGAATTTGGGCTTACGGTTCTTGCGATGAAGGAAAAAAGGGCTGCGAAGAGGAGTTCGTGCATGATCAGTTTAGCAACCATTCAGAATGTTGAAGGGCTCAAGGAAACCAAAAGCCCCAAAGGAAAGAAGCATCCACTGCCATTAGATGCTCATGCTTTTTGCACTTGAGGCCCTGTGAGGTAGGCTTTGGCAAGTGGCCCCGTTTGGATTCAGTACAATTCCGAAAACACCGACCATTTGCATCTGGCTCAACTTCCACAATTTCTACAAGTTAAGAGGCAAAAGAAGTATGTCAGAATTCTCCTCTGTGCACAATATATTCCCTTATTCCCACATAATCCCCCATATAATCCCTATATAATCCCTGTATGATCCCTATAGAATCCCTATATAATCCCTATAGAATCCCTACATAACCCTACATTATTCCCAATGGGCTTGAATCTGAACCTGGACCTACAAATCGGGGCCAAGCATCCTGAAAAACCCTAACCCGGGATGAGCGGCTTAAACTGCTGATACGTACTTGGGAGGTCCGTTCTATTGGGGGGAATATTGGGGTTATATGGGGGTTATATAGGGGCTATATAGGGGTTATATAGGGGTTCTATTGGGGTAACGTTGGGGTTAAATGGGGCAATATTGGGGTTATATACTTGGAGGTCCGTTGTACTTTTTAACCTACTTAGTAACTGTAATTAAAACCCAATTATATCTAGGGTACCTGTAGTTATGCGACTTAGACTTGGGTTATACTACAGTTACTAAGTAGGTTTTAAGTACAGCGAACCCAAACCCTAACCCTAAACTCTAAGCCCCAACCCATCCAGCAGTTTGAAAGGAGTCCAACGGACATTTGGCTCCGCAGCGATCAGGCAGAGCTTAGGCTACAAACCCGAGAACCATCCCAAGGCTGCACTCAGTTGTTTAAGGGGTTTGGGGTGTAGGGTTTAGGGTTTAGGGGTTTAGGGGTTAGGAAAGGTTTAGGGTTTAGGGGTCAAGGGAAGGTTTAGAGTTTAGGATTTAGGGAAGGTTTAGGGTTTACGGTTCAGGGTTCAGGGGTTAAGGGAAGGTTTAGCGTTTAGGGTTTAAGGGTCTAAGCCTTTGAGGACAAGTGTCATTGCAAACCTTGGCCACTAGCGTTCACGACACAAGGCTGTGAAGTAAATGCTTCCGTGATCCTCCAAACTCGCCCAAAAAGCTATAGTCCCCCTTAGGTAGATAGAATATGGCTTTGGGTATACTATAATGAGATCTCCATATACCCCATATTCTATCGACTTAAGGGGGATTATATGTGAACTCTGCCACAAGCCCCGTACAATCTAAATCGCAAGCTTCACTTGAAGGGCTGTGTTCCTTCTAAGGTCGGTCCAACCCAGAAAACTGGACCATAAGAAACTTCCCCGAGTCCGCGGCAATGATGGGATTAAGGTACTCACTACCACTCAGGTTTCTCTATAGGTTTTAGGTAAGGAGCGCGCCCACATGAAGGAACCTTCGCATACCGCATACCGTTGAGGGATGAACATCCTGCGCCGGAAGCCACGCAGTCACGCCTTTTCTTCCAAAGCCTGGGAGGTCCTGCGACTTCAATGTCAATTGTAGTCTGCCTCGATTCTCTTTCTGAATTTTCACAGCAAGGCCATGGTCTTTCCTTAAGCGGTGCTTCAAATTGTTGAGGTTAGGACGCTCCGGGTGTAGGACCCATGTCATAGGGTCAAGGATTTGAGTTTTTGGTCCTAGGGTTTGTGGAAACTCGACCTAGGATCATAAAACTTGAAGGGCTGCATGGGATGGGAAGATTCATCCCCAACCTCCCTTTTGGCAAAGGTTGAAATTAATGGTGGTTAGTCGTTGGTTGATGGACTCTGAGTTGTACGGGAGGGTTGCAGGGAGGTCCGTTAAAGCCATGAACCCGCCATTCCCCATGGATAATGACCAACGTGTCAACCTCCAATAAAAAAATGGAAGTCTTCAGGCTGATCTATCAAGGGACCCTGGCACTCTTGCTGTTCAGCTACCTCCTTGTGGCACTATACCACTCCAAGCCCTGCATCCCTACATCCCCAAACCCTCTGCTCCATCTCGAAGGTTTGCAGTCAAGGTTGAGAGGCTTAGGGCTTAGGGGGTTGAGGGGTTCAGGGTTGAGAGAGTTTAGCAGTTTGAGGGGCTTTTGGTTTAGGGCTTGAAAGTTCATTGGGTTGACCCATGGAACTTAAGCCAGCATTCCATGACGTAAATATATGGCCAACAACATGGTTTCCTCATCGTGGTAATTGGTCGTGGCTACTTAAGTAAAACCTTTGTCACAAACCCAGTTTTGGGGTGCAGGGTTGTTGGGCTCGGTAAACAAGAGCCAGCTGCAGCTTGGCCATGATGAAAGACTGGTTGTCTGACCGCTGCCACAGCTCTCGTGACTTGCCCCAGCCGGTAATGATGACCTAGATCCCCAAGTAAGCTGTGGGCAACTGCTGGGCTGCTGTTCGGGAACTCAACTAGTCACCAGAAGTTGGAAACCAGAAGGTTTACTGCACATCCATGCGACGGCAATCTAATTTACGCTCCTTAACTCCCTATACAACCCTATGCGACGCACAGACAACTCCAGCTGCCATTTCAATATGAATTTTCTTTGCCTGTTGATCACCCACTCAGATTAACTTGAATTAAGGTGCCCCTGGATGCTAAGCCTCGACCCTCTAAAACAAAAGTGAGGACAAACTACTGGGCCAAGCGACGCAGGTCCGAGGCTTGCTTTGCTGGAAAACTGTTGGCAGGACTTCAGCAAACCACCATTCCACGGCCGTCCAAGCAGCACCAGCCGACATGTCATGCAGATCTAGATAGGTGGGACCCTTCTTGCACAAGTCGGTGAAGTGACCAGACTTCCTGGCTTTGCGAAAGAGGTCAGCGGCTTGGGCTCTGCCGTGAACGGCATCAAGCACCGCATTGTAACTCACAACATTGTGTGCCACCTTGGTTTCAGGCATGGTTGCAAAGAGGGCAAGAGCCGCCTGCCAATGTTGTCCCCCCGCTAAAGAGCCCATGGTCGCGCTGTAGCTGAAGACATTGGGATCAACCTTGGCTTTCTGCATGCCCGCAAAAAGATGCAGCGCCATCGGCCACTGCTGCCCCTTCTCACAGGAGCTGATGGTCGCGTTGTAGCTGATGACATTGGGATCAACCTTGGCTTTCTGCATGCCCGCAAAAAGATGCA